CATCTCAGCTGGAGCTATCCGAGGCTTAGCCTCCGGAAAATATTCCATAGAGTAAGCCGTCTACATTAATATAGTAATAACAACGAATACAAATGTAAAGGCCTTTGTCAATTTACTGCTCGGTGAAGGCTGTATTAGTCATGGGGGGGGGGGGGGGGCAGGGGATTGAACATACTTCACCAGGCTCGTCAGCGCGAATTGGCGAATAACGGTTGTGGCCCCTATAAATGGGTTTTAGATGATCACTCGACAACTGAACTGGCCTTAGCCGTGGCCGGGAATCGAACAGATTTCTGGGTTCATGAATAGCGCGTCCTCTGAAAATCACTGCGCCACCGGCTCCACCAAAAAAAACAGAAGAAGAAAAAAAAAGAGAGACACGGCACCGTGCAAAGTGTAATGGGGAAAAAGTCTCGCACGGAGCGAGAATGACGAGAACGCGCGTGGGCACGGCGTGGGTATACAGGGACTCTTCTACTTACGAACAAGTTAGGTTCGAAGTCTGTTGGCAAGTCGATTTGTTCGAAAGTCAAACTGTACTCCTGTCGATTTCAAACCTGTTGTACGGCATGTACACTAAACACGGGGAATGGCTTTAAAAGTTGTGTAATCTCATGTAGATGTAGATGCTGCTGGTTCGTCACGTTCTGCAGATGTAGATGCCACCACTGGCATCTATGTGCGCGGCGGTTGAACTTGCGACTCTCGGTCCGTAAAAGGCAACTGGACATACGCACAGGGTTGCTCGTAAATCTGAAAGTTCGTAAGTCGAATGTTCGTAAGTAGAAGAGTCCCTATATCGTGCTAGTGAATGGAACCCCCCCCCCCCCCCGCCACTGGGCCACTACGTAGCTACAAGAAGTGATGAGTTGCCACTGCAGGGTCGCTACATTTCAGAGCCATCATACTCAGATTATAATTACGGTGAGTAGCTTAAACAAAGTCAGTCTCTCAATTGATTTATGCCGGTTTCCCGCAAAAAAAAATGAATGTGAATTTTATGAACCCAATCGATGCCCCCCCTCCCCCATCTCCCCTTCCTTTCGAACGTGATTTTAATTCGTAGCAGCTCGCGGCGCTGACTGGGGCTCGATGAGCCAAGTCGAAGCGGCTCCCTGCCATCCCAAATCCGCCCTCACCCCCCACACTGAACACCACCACCACCACCCCCACCCACCATTTATGTCAATGTCTTGAGAAGAGCCCATTCCTCCCACCCAACCACTTCCCCCAACCCCCTTCCACCAGCTTTGTGCTTTCTCGCTCTCTCCCTCTCCAAGCCCACAGAGCCATCCTCACAAGCTCCTCGACGTGCCGCTATTCTTCCTCGCCTCCTCTCACCGCGCAAACTCCGCGCGTGCCAAAATTCCGGACCCGTTGCACATTTGTATGATCATCTAAGCAATGCGCGTGCGGTTCAAAGTGGCACAAATGAACGCGCCGTGTGAGCGGTGTCTGTATGGAGCGAGCAGGGGTTGATGCAGGGGTGGATGTAGGTGGGGGGGGGGGGGGTGAAGTTAATTTGCCCCCTCCCCCAATCCCTCTTTTCCTTTGTAAATTCGAGAATAGCCTAATTTTTGTTTGGTTTAGCCTTCTATATTACTGCCCTGTCCATTTATTCGCCATGCGATTGTGACTGCTGCACTCTGCAGGCAACGTTGCACGGTCAATGACCTAAGTTGCGTAAAAGTTGCGGGCTTTCTCGCTTCTGTACTCGCCCAAAACCAAAAATGTCAAAATGCACGATCCTCGAAGGGCCGCGTCGCCTCGGATTAAAACACAGGGGACGTTGAAATGCGAATTATCGTCCGGCACCAAAGGGTTACGTGCATGAGATATGGAAACACGCACTGACGCATGCGACTGGTGAACTCAAAATTTCATCCGTCGCAACAATTGGGAATTTGCATTGCCCGATACGGAGAGACGGTGGCGCATCTGGCGTCTCCTCTCGGTTCTCTGTCTCTCTCACTCGCCAACGTGAAATAATGCGGTGGGTTTAAAGTGCCCATCGTTCTGAAATGTTAACCGCATTACGCACGGACGCTTAAATCGCACGAGACATCTTAACCGACGCTCTTTATTTTAGCAAAGTGTGTAGAAGGCTGCTCCATAAAGTAGCAGCCAAATGAAGATACATTACGTTTAAACGACGCGTGGATACTGTGACTGGCTTGATTTTTAAAGTTGAGTTCTTCTCTGGATTTCGTTTGGAAATCCATTATCTTAAACCTAAAACATGATTATAGTACGAGACAATTTGTATTTCACGCAAAAAAAGTCTCACATTCGTCACGAACATCGTGCTAAGGTGATGAATATAATAGGCGACGTTTCGGGCAATGCTCCTTATTCCCAGCACAAAGAAAATGTCTTTCATGTGTGTATATCTGAAAGAGTCCTGGCCTAATGTGCAAGGTGATGTGGACGCAGGCTATCGCACAGTCGTAATACATATAACGTGTGAACGCAATTGTTTTAAATAACTCGATAGGAGCACCGTGATGGCTTAGGGCGTGTAATTTATTACGCGTTTATCTCGAGAACGCAGCTGTTTGAAAAATGGTCACAGGTGTTGGTTTATGCGACCCGCGTGCTTTGCATGACACTAAGAGCGGTAATAATCAAATAAAGGAAAATATCCCCCCGTATAGCCTTAACAGACTGTTGGGGAAACTGCTGTTAGCGAGCACCTATGGAAAGCCGGCACGGCACAAGAGGGGGTGGCCAACACCACGCCCGGCCGCCTTTGTCTCCCTAGTAGAAATGTTTTTACACACAGCACTAGGTACTCGATTGAAGCCGAGTCGACCTAGGGGAGGCCCAGGACCGGTTCAGATAATCATCACCGATGGTGTATGGCCGTGAGCGGGAATCAAACCCGCGTTGCCGGATTCGTAGCGCGGCGTGATGACAAATACACTACCGCTCCCCACTAATAAAACACGCACACACACACACACAGATACATCTCCGCCCTTGCGTCGTACGTTAACGATTCATACTAATCACTCGTCTTATTCGGCAGACAAAATGCTGACTACAACAGCTTGCCATGCCCGAGTGGTGTGTGCGTGCGCGCGCGCATTCACCCAGAGCGGTCGTGTAGTGGTTAGCAGCACTGCGCCACGAACCTGGATTCCCCAGTTCGATTCCCACTCACGGTCAACATTAGTGACGAATTAATTATCGGAACCTGTACTGGGCCACCCGAAGGTCGACTCAGCCTTAACATGAGTACTTGGTGCGGTGTAAACATCGGCATGAGAGAGACAAAGGCGGACGGGCGTGGCGCCGGCCACCCCACCCCCTTTTGTGCCGTGGCGATCTTCATAGATGCTCGCTAACAGCACTTGGCCCGCACGTCTATTGAGGCTATACGGGGGATCTTTGTCTTTGCCTCTTTGCCACCCTCTCTGTTGGGCTGATCCGACAAAAAAAAAACAAGTTAGAAAAAAAGAATGCACACGCATGATATAGTACAGAACGCTTCTCTGACATATATATGCCCTGGGAGGTATTGCATCGGCCGATAATGGGTAGCTAGCTGCCAGTGCAAAAAAAACCCTTTGCTTATTTACAGACCAGTCCGCTTATGCTCTGGTTGTAGCCTCCGATTTTTGACCAACCCTTGCATCAAGTTGGCCAGTTTTCAATTGGTTAGAATCCCCATGAGCAACACACAACCCGACAACATTCTCGCTCACGTTGAATCATCTTCCGGAGAGTTAGTGCTCCCTTTCCTCCTCCGCTAAATAAATACAGACAGCTAATGCACCACACGATTTCCACCGCGGTTGCAACGCATTTGTAAACATAAAAACACACAACCCTGCCGCTGATCACATTGCGTAGTAGATAAAGTAGCCAAACAGAGCCTGTTGGTTCTCACCAACTCACTGCCAGTTCTGGAGGAGAATAATAATTAGCTGCACAAACGAGAAGCGGAAAGAAAGGGCATGCATACATACATACATCATACACAGTGCACATCGTTATCACGATGCCTTTCTATCTATATATCTCTCTGCATGTGTAGCGAACGTGCGGGCCTTACCTCTGTGGCAGTAGTAACTTAACATTTCGGGTTCGCTGCTGTGAGCCAGAGGTCCCATCCGAGAGCGCATTAAAAGAAAATCCAGGATTCCACGCGGAGAGCTGATAGCTCTCTCTCTCTCTCTGTGTGTCGTCAAGAGGTCGGAAGGGCCGCGTGGGGTGCTGGACAACTGGCGCTGTGCGCACACGGTGAGGGGGTATTAAGTCATTTCCAGTCCATCACGCTCACTAAAACAGCTCACTAAGCCTCGTATGCCCGTCGCGCGCACGCACGCGCGGACACACACACACGTGTGAGGCGTGCGTTATCCAGGGGACAACCGTCCAATCTTCCGATCCACCAAGAACCCCTTTTCCTCCTTCGCGTGGACGCCCGCTTGTCTGTTATTCTGCTTCTGGCTTTTCCTCGGCTTCTTCTCCGGCACGGTAGTGACTTTAACTCTCGCCCTACCCGTCGCTCTGCAGCCGAGATTCCTTACGAGCTGCGAGCACGCGTGTGGCGAGTGCGGGCGATTGCGAATATCGCCGAATGGGTCCTTTGCTGAGGATTGTGGATTTTTCTATTTTTCCCCTCTCTGCGCCTCCCCCCCTCTCCGTCTCCCTGTGAATGAGTCTCTCTCCACCGCTTCTCTCCCTCTCTCTCTCTCGCGGGCGCGCGGTCTCGCTGGCTCCTCGCAGCCTCCTCGCTGTCTCTCCAGCTTGCTAAATGGCCGGGGAGGGATTTGATGTGAGCGCTAGCCAACCGAACAAATAAAATGACGACTGCGATGTCTGCGGGCTAAGGGGTCAAGAATCCCAGCCCCCGCACTCTCGTCCCTAAATTCAACCCCCCCCCCCCGCTTGCCCTGCGCGCTCTCCTCTCCACACCACCCCCCGCCCCAGTGCCTTCCCTCCCCTCTATAGCCTCCTATAGTATCGATTCTGGAGAGAAAGAGAGAGTGGAAGACGGCGGGGAGAGAGAGTGACAGCGAATAAGAGCGTTATTAAGTACGGCTCCGAAGCGTGGCTGCACATCTTTCAAGGGGTCCAAAAAGGAAAAGAGAACATCTCTCCTCGTTTGTCCACAGCGCAAGTTTGTTTTGATGGTGAGCGGTGGTGGCGGTGGTTTCTTTGTTGTTTTGCTTTAGGCTCGTCCTTTAGAATAAAAACGCGCTGTAGCCGCCGTGCTGTGAAATGCTCTAGCGGCGATATTTTTAAGCCGTCGGTCAATCGATGGCCACGCGGACAGATTCGAGTACCAACAAGAAGAAGAAGAATCGAAAATAAAGTAGACGACGTAATATAAATATGCGCACAGAATTTCAAAACGGTAACGCGACACGTTCATAGCGACCAGTAATATCGCTCGTCTCGCAACACCCCCCCCCCTGCCAAGACAACCTCACATTGTTCGGTACGAGCTCTCGGCGTGAGCCGACGGGAGTGTGGTACACACACGCGTGCGCGCGGCATATCATTACCACACGCGGTACACGTGTGCAAACGCACGTACGCGCACACAGACACACAGGCACACACAGACACGCGCGCGCTACGTACCTGCGCTGGAGAACGCGGTCGACACGCCGGACAGCTCATTCAAGGTGGGGTGGGGTGGGGTGGGAGTCGGGGGGGGTGGGGGAGTGAAATCCGACGGACAAGGGGACTCGCTCACTGAGCGATCTGCGCTCATAAAGTCACAGGTAAGACTCGGCGCGCACGGGCCCTGCACAATCATATACGAGCGAGAGAGAGCGAACGAGAGAGCGCAAGCGAGCGAGCGAGCCGAACGAGAGAGAAGCGAACGGGGCGAGAGACAGCGAGCTAGCGAGCGAGCGAGCGAGCGCCACTCTTTTATCGCTTCGGCGTAAGTGATCGTGATCTCTCTTCTGTTGCCGGCACCGCAGGGGTGCCCGGCGCGTGGGTGTCTGTGCGCCGTTTGCACGCCGGAGAGCGCGAGCCGAGTCTTGCGACGAGCCCTGCACGATCGCGAAATGCGCGCAGCGCAGCGGCTCATCCCACCGCGCGTCCATCCATCGATTCGGGACAGCGCCACCGATGACCGGAGTCAGGAGTCGTACCCAGGCTAGCAGCGCGTACTGGACCGAATTGCAGGATTTGGAGGAGAGGAGCAGCGGAAGGGTCGGGGTCGAGGTTTGGGTTATGTCGTCTTGGTGGGGGGGGGTGGGGGGGGGGGTAGTCAATCCTGAAGGGGGGCGGAGGGCGTGCGGGTTAGCGTGTTGCGTTTGGTCACTGCATGCATCGATGTCAGCGCGTGTCTTCCCCTCGGTTAAAACGGGTGGCCAAAACCTCGGGCTAACGCGTGGAATAATCGAATTGATGCAACAAAAACTTTACAGCAACAGCAGCCGCAGGTGAGTATTCACATTGTGTTCTGGACATAAACACGCCATCGATAGCCAGCATTGTGAAGGCATGGTACTCAGCATGCCGAGTACACCAGCTGACCGCATGCTGATACTGCGACTTTTGTTCCTCTCTGCAGGTCAGAGCGCTCAGTCAAAGGGACACCACCACGAGCAAAACCACCACCACAAGCACCACAACAACAACAACAACAACATCACAACAACATCCGGCCTGCACACGTGCACCGTTGTACTTACAGATCACGGCTGCAGCAAGCTCTCCAAAAAGGCAGGAGGGGAGGAGGCAGCGAATGAAACTCGACAAATATAGCGCAATTCACGGCACAATTTGGATCCGTATATTAGTCCAAGTAAATTGACTTGCAATTGAAGTTACGGCGACAGTAACTGCCAATAAATAGCAACACTAAATCTGCGCGCCGCGATCAAAAAGGGGACCGGGTCTGCGCGTGGAGCAAAAGCTACCGGCTGCTTTCCGCGTGCCGACGGCGCGCTCAGAAGAGAGCCGTCGTGGGCGTCGTTCCGTGGCACGCGCGGCAATGCCCTTCCTCTGGATCCTTTTGTGCGGCGCTTGCCTCGGTGGCCGCACCCCCTTTGTATCCCCCGCGAACCCCGCGGCCGAGTCCCACGGTGGCGGCGAGCAGTGCCGCCTCAAGACGGTGACGGCGTCCAGCGTGCCCGCCGCAGGCGCCACCCGGCGAGATGGGCAGACTCCCGGCGGTGGGGACGCTGGCGAGAAGGTGTCCCTGGCGGTACGAAGCGATTTCCCGGGGGAGCTGGCCGTGGTGGACGACCTGCAGAGCTCCGAGACGCCTTACTTCGTTATTGGTGCGCGGATTTTTGCTGTTGTTGTTGTTAATAGCGCAAAATGTATGCCTCGTTTAACCCGGTCTCCGTTATCCCCGAGAGCGCATTGATGGTCTTCAATGAGCACACACCAAAGACACCTGCGACCAATTATGTGCGCGCTTCCTGTAATCACCATCACGGCCATCGCTATAATCAATCACTTATTTCACCAACATTAATTCCTCCCCCCCCCCACCTCCCCCTCCCCCAAATCACCACACCACCCCCCCGCCTTTCCTCTGGAATTCGGGGGCTGGCGAACGCTTAATTATTACGCAAGTCAGGGCCTAATTCTTTCCCATAAGAGGAGGGAGACCAATCGATCTGGAGAATTGATTGCATGTTTACGCGATGACAAGATATGGCAATGTCACGGGGCTCCCCGCTTGTGCCGCGCGTGCCTGGGCTGCCTTCACGTACCTTGTCGAGTCGAGCACCACGGCCACCAATAAGACAACCAGAAGACCCCCCCCTCCCAGCCCCCCGTTGTTATTGTGTGTGAAAGCTGGGATTTATAGCGCTGTGCACGAGAGACTACCCCCATCCTCCACCCTCCCCTACCCTGGATGCCCTTCACTCGCAAAACTTTGTGCGCCCGCCTCCAAGCTGCCTTGCAACTCCACGTGCAACATCTCGGGGTGAAATTCCCCATCGCGAAGGAAAGCATTCTAACGTGAATTGTGTGGGCCCGGCTTGCGCGCACAGACATTGGCGGCGATGACTCCCCAATGAAATGAGGCGTCACACGATTGTGCATCTCCTAAATTCGCCCAGTATGAGGCAGCCCTGAGTCACGCAAATAATCAGGCAAAATTAAATCATAGACATGCGCTGCGGTTATTTCCATCCGAACGCATGCATTACAAGCAAATTGAACGTCAATTACACCCCCCTCTCGTCTAAAAGCCGCTGAATTCGAAATGGGAGTGTGATTTGCGGATCATGCATTTGCGATCTTCAGAGATGCCATTGACACACCCAAGTGAGCTGTGGGCCTTGCCAAATCAAAGCCGGATATTTGTTGTTGTTGTTGCCTGCATGTTGTCAGCACGTTCACATGATGCACGCCTTCCGTTGTTGGTTTATAGAGGAGGGGGGGGGGCGTGAATTCGACAGGGAGCTAAGGGATTGCTGAGCCTTCACCCAGTTTAGTGTCAACCTACGCAATAATTTATATATGGGCCAAGGAAGCTGACTTGATGACCCCGAATGCACTTGGGTGGAAGGTGCAAGTCTCAAATTGATAGCAAAAGTGCAAGGCTGCAAGAATACCTTGCGGAAAAGAACAGTAAGTATAGAAATCCAATACAGCCATTTTAATGTCTTTTTTTTTTGCACAGCGTGAATGCCCCGGCTTGCGTACAGTGTGTACACCTTTTACAAGGGAGCAACTTCGCATGCGAAACAACTTCGCATGCGAAACACCTTCGCACCTTCGCATGCGAGTAAAGGCCGACTTTTAAGCAATTCTAAGAGAATGTTTTGAGCTCGCTTCCGTCGCTTTCTGGATGACCGTGCTCCAGTTTAAATCACAAACAGAAGAAAAGTTGATCACAGCTGCGAGTTTATTTTCAGCATCTCACAGTGGAGATGCATTTGAGTGGCGGAAACATATTTCTCAATCTCCTTCCGCAGGGGGTGAATTCGTTTTTCAACATTTACCAAAAGGTCTTCATATTGAGACGAAAAAGGAGTGTGTCACGAAAAAGTGAAACACACGCAGGTAAATTTATTCATGTTCTGTCATTCCACATCTGTTCTGGAGGCAAAATGAGCCAAAAGTGTGGGAGAATTTGTTGAAGTCTGAATTTTTGTGTTTTTTTCTTGGTGCAAATTTGCTTAAGAAGGTAACGTCTTCGAAGCATAAATTATGCAATTCGTACCAGCCCGAGCCCAGAATATATACTGTATGTACGTCAATCTCAATTATAATTTTCACGTATTATAATTAGCTGCTCGACTCTAATATTGTGTAACCAGACTCTGGGGGGGGGGGGGGGTGGATTGTTAAGTGCCAGATGAGAATGATAATTCATAATTACCTTAAATGCATTCCAGATACGCCAGTGAAGGTTTCTTGGATGATGTTCAAAAAGGACAGCATTTGGGCTCCTGTTGTAGTGCATCTCCTTTGACCACAAATCTGTTTTCGTTTTGAAAATAAGTCACGCAAAGCATTGCTAAAACTTGGAATTTATATTGAGAGTTGTTACCGCTTCACCTGGAAAGTGTGGCCATTTCCATTTGTGGAACTAATTTAGTTTTTTGTCCGTATCTTCATTTTTTTACAAGGCATGCATGAGTGTATGTTCTCAATTCTTGACAGTACACACACACAGACATACCTATATAATGGTAACTTTTATTTATTTTCATCAGCGGTATGTATTTCAAATATTTACAGCCATACTAGGCCAACATTTATATAAAAAAACTCACTCAAAAAAAACCCTCACTCGGTCTCAGTGCTTTTATCTGAAGGATCCTGCATTTTTGGACATTTGACGAATTAATTATGAAACATTGTATGTTCTTACAAAGAAAGATAAGATGGAGAACACCAGGTTACAATAGTGGGTGCTTTGGAGACAGGTTTATGAAATGTATCTCTACAGTTTGTATTTTTATTGAAATAATTGGTAATTTTCTGGGTGGAATTCATGAAAGTATTGTGTAAGAGATATGTGGTGCAGTAATTAACTCGGGCAACGATCATGGGGCACTGCAGGTGATTACTCAGAGTCCATCAAAGGTAATGGTGCCTCCTTGGAATGGCTCACTGCTGACAGAAGGGACTTCAGGAGAGGGATCTCTAAAAAAGCCCGCCTAGATAGCATTTGGCCTACTCTTCCACGCTGGCCAGACACATTTGAAGAGGAGGGAGCACACACAGACACACACTCGACCCCACCACTTGCGACCTGCCAATCGACTGTCCGCGATGACCCCTTTGTTACCGCTGGGTGAACCGAAGCAGCGGTGGGATTTACGAAAGTTCCACGATCGTCTCAGCTGCCACGCTCCAGGAAATCGAACCGGTGACCTCTGGCTCGCGAGTCCGACCCGCTAACGGCTACAACCATGGCAGCATCCCCGCCGAGTCCACGTAGGCTCATAAATGCCCAACGCAGCCGATTACTAAAACAAATTAAATGCGTCCTCTCGCAAGCACGCACCATTTCCACGTGCTCAAAAGGTCATCCGTCGATGTTCACTCCCTTCCCTCCACCCCGACCCCGACCCCCGCCACCTTTGTCCGCAGAAATCTCAGGCCCCAGCGAGGAGATCGCGCGCGTCTACTGGAAGCAGGCATGGCTCGCGAACGGCACGTTCTACTTCCACGTCCACGCCCGCGACGCAGCCTCTGCCGCGGCAGCGCCGCCACCCCGGACTCCATTGGGCCCTCGTGGACCCACGCAGCCTACCCTGCTGGAGCACGATCGAGGTCACATGCTGCGCGTCTTCCTCATGGTATGGCTTCGACACTTGCACCCGCACTTCCTCGTCGTTCAGCCAGCAGGCCAGCGCGAGGCGCGCAACCAGCGGCGATCTTCAAAAGCGCATTCTCTTGGATGCAGAGTTCACAAAGGGTGGGCAATTCTCCTCCATTCACCTGTTATTTATAATTGGCATAGAGACGTGTATGTTGCGGTGATGGTGGTGGCGGTGATGATCGTACCGCTGAGTTGTCATCATCTGCATTTTTATTTCCATTATCATCACATTGGTTAATCAACTCCACCTGCTCATCTCACATACGGTAGCCAAGGACATCGGTGTGCGTCGCCGGCACCATCTTTGCTGCTGATGGATACGCGCAAAAAGCGAAAGACCAATGATGTACTTACTCTGAGAGTTGACGGCCTGATGCCAAGGTTAAAAAGACTGTATCACCAGGGGTCACTGAGAAGGCAGACCAATCGTGATGGTTGTTCCAGGACCCAGCCTCTTGCCGTGGGCCCGGTGGGTTTTGAAAAGGGAGGGGGCTCAGGTTTTAATCGGGGAGGTGGGGGGAGGAGGGAAAAGGAAGCTCATGCCACGACACCTAAGGGGTCCAGATTCTACATTCTGTATTGGGCTTGCAATTTAATTTAAAAATTAATTGAAATATTTCACAGGAAGGGCAAAAAACCGTGACGCATGAAGGTTCAAAGTGAAATCTTTGCAATCAGTCACTTACACCCAACAAAATAATTGTTTGAGCCTTCCAGGCTATTGCTACAATTTCCCAGTTTAATAAATTGGGTTAAATTGTTCATTGATTCAAAAATTGCCTCAATAATTCAATAATCCCGCAGTTCTGGGCTTATATTTTTGTCTCAGTTTAATGATATAAATTCAAGATTATTGATTTATCGTTACCAGAATAGATTACTTAAATATTTTGTACTTGCACGTGTTTCATGCGCATATAATCAATATCTGTAAACTATGATTACCTTAATGGAATCCAAGAACTTATAACGTGTGATGTGATTGTACATTTTATTTTAGGATAAAAAATATATATATATTGTCGGGTGATTTAATCTATACACATTGCATTTTCCATATAGAATGGTGCGCAGTTGTAACACTCCTGAATCACAGAAAGAGGGGCCTGGGTTTAATTCCCGACTAGGGCACCTTTGTGGGGGTTGCATGTCCTACCCACTGTTCTGCATGTGTATGGGTTTCCGCTGGGCTTTCTGGTTTCCTTCCGTAGCAAGCAAACAAAAAAAAAACCCCTACAAAATAACTGGCATTGTCCAGATATCTCAAGGATGGAAAAATAAACATGCAAATTACTAAATTGGCCACATCTTAGACATGACCCTACCGCAGAAGTTTGGCAGGAATCTCCTGAAAGAGAGGCCCGAGACTCAGTGAGGCTTTCATAGGTATATCAAGCGCAACACTCACACACGGATATAATGACGAATCTTTACAGATTGCATCGTGCAATTAACGTTTAATCGACTCTACAATCTTCGTATATAACGATAACGTCCCCATCACAGACAGACTGCACATTACAATGACAAAATACATATATTTGGATAATTATGCATGACACTGCAATTTCTTATAATCTACAACGTGCGAAAAAAACAAAAATGTAAAACCAGAGGAGGGAGTTGGAATTTTGCAAGATACCTGTTTATATTAAAATGTTTATTTCTAAACACTGCCTTGAGGCCTGAAACGTGTTAACAAAATATAGCCTTCAGCGGGAAAACTACAAGTAAAAAGTGTGCTTTAAAATAGTGCTGACACCCTTAGATATTGGGCACCTTCAGGCAATAGGTTTTATTTTAGCATGATATAATAAAAAAGACGAATTTAGATTCATAAGTCCACAGCGGCTTCATTAAAGCTCATGGTCTTGCAGATACCAGGTTATAAACAGCTCTACATACTGTCTGCTGTGTCTCCCCTCCTAATTAGCGTGCAGGCTGTTTCCAGGCAGCCGATGATAAGGTGAAACAAGTGAAGGTCCAGCCCTGCAATTACCTGCTCAGAGCACTGCCGGTGGCAACGCATTCATTCAACTCAGCTCTAGAGCCTGCTGGCCAGCGGGTCCTAGAAGAGGTGGTAGTAACCACAATATGTTAACTACCTCACCTGGTATACAGGAGGTCGTGGGTTCGATCCCGACCCTGGCGCCTGCTGCTGTATATTTGGAGTTTGCGTGTCTCTCTCTCTCATCATCACCACGGTGGCTATGAAATGTTAACTACCTCGCCTGGTACACAGGAGGTCGTGGGTTCGATCCCGACCCTGACACCTGCTGCTGTATCTTTGGAGTTTGCGTGTCTCTCTCTCATCATCATCACGGTGGCTAGAAGATGTTAACTACCTCGCCTGGTATACAGGAGGTCGTGGGTTCGATCCCGACCCTGACACCTGCTGCTGTATATTTGGAGTTTGTATGCTCTCTCTCTCATCATCACCACGGTGGCTATGAGATGTTAACTACCTCGCCTTGTATACAGGAGGTCGTGGGTTCGATCCCGACCCTGGCGCCTGCTGCTGTATATTTGTAGTTTGCGTGTCTCTCATCATCACCACGGTGGCTAGGAGATGTTAACTACCTCGCCTGGTACACAGGAGGTCGTGGGTTCGATCCCGACCCTGGCGCCTGCTGCTGTATATTTGTAGTTTGCGTGTCTCTCTCCCCGTGGCCTCGTGGCTTTTCCTCTGGGCCCTCTGTTTTTTTGCTCTTCACATTTAGAAACATGCGTTTAGAGTATTTGGCTGATATGCATTTCCACGAGACAAAGCCACTTGGTTGAGCTATCATTTGTGGTCAGGTCGCTTCTGAAAAAGAGCTACATAGCTCCGTGGGACTTACCTAGTCAAATAGTTTATAGTTCATGCTGTTGGGTCGACAGAGGTTGGGAGAGGGGACGAGGTGTGGAGATCAAATAGACATGCATCATTGTTTCAGCAGCAATTCTTTTTTGTCCTTCCATATTTATTTTCTGTCGCAAAAGAACGCAGCTGTGAATCTTGAACAATTGCCCTCCATACAGTACGAATGCTATAATTGTAAATAGGCATGCCTTTGCAATTACCCTAAGTACTACTTTGCATGCCACAATGGGCCACCTGCTCAGGTAATTCGAGAGCGATGGCAGTGGTGGTGGTGGTGGTTGATGGCGCCAAGGATGAGAGGAACCACTCCTATGGCGCGACACGAACGCGACCACCCCACGTGCTCACGCTGCACGGGGCATAGCTTCCTACTCAGATTTACATTTAAGAGGCCCGCGCAGCAGCAAGGCATTAAACTTTCATTTTTCTTTCATTATTCCCATACAAGAACCACTCGAGGCCCTTGGCAGAGTGTGGTGCGGTTGTTATGCGGCGCGCAGGGTCACTTTCAGTTTCAGCGGTGTCAGCCCCAATGTCAGATTATCCTGGAAGATATTTTTATATATTATTTTTTTTAACCGGCGTCTGCGTATGCACACACATGCACACATATGCTCGAGAGTTCGTGGTTTGTTGGTGGTGGTGGTGGTTTCAAAGGGCCGGAGCGCTACATTTGTATGTGCATGTTTACAATTCACCTCTGTCCTTTTCACAGCAAGAAGCGGCGAACCGTAGCAACAACAACCACAACAGCATAAGCTACAAAATTGCAATTCATATGTTTTTTTGTTTAATGCGAGCACTTGCCGTGCATTTGCGCGGGATACACGGCCGGCGGTTGCGGGTTTGGGTTGGCGAGGAGGCGTAACGTCAGCACGCACGAATTCTGCTCGAAGCTGATAAAAAAAACCGAACTTGTGTAAACAATGCATTATTATGTATTTATTTATAGCGCCTTGCTTGCGTTCGTCTCTATTTTGAACTCCTATCGGGTTTTTTTGCATTGTTTGTTGTTGGACTGGACGTCTGTCAAAAAAGGGCTTCATAGCTCATCGGATTCCTCCAGTTATAAATAAAGATTATGATTCTGTTGAATGAGGGTGACGTCATTACGCAAATATGCACGGTAACGCTATCACCGCGCAACTTGCCCACCGACGCTCCAGCCAGGCAGCCAGGAATCTAGCTAGCCAGCAAAACTTTTTTTTCTTTTCTCATATAGTACAGCACTGGAAATGATTAAAGGTTAAAGTGCAGCCCTGTCATTTCTTGCTCACTCCACTGCTGTCAGGAAGAGCCTCCAACTAATGGGAACTTAAACGTGCTCCTCCTAATTATTTTTTTAATATTGACATGGCATGAAATGTTCTGACTTTTCAAATATTTAGTGCTCATCTGACCTAACAATATATGCCAATTATACCCGGACTGCCACGTGTATTTGAATGATGTGTCTCGAATATCAGTGTTCATGTACTATTTTGTTCATTATAATGTTGGTTGTGATCTAACAGTCAATTTGGTAAATTGCTTGGGAGTTTTTTTAAAAGTCGAAATGCATTAGTGTACCTCGGGCTCTGTGCATGCACTGCAATTAGATGGTATGAACCATGTCTTAAACGTGGCCAATTGCATAAAGCTGCGTTATCATTGTCATCGAATCCACTGCACAGTAATTATATTAATAATAATTTAAATTCAGAAAGCGCCCTTAAACAATCGCTCCCAGGGCGCATAGTACCCTGTCACCTCACAATGCGATTGTGTAAATTACTCGGAGCGGTACTTTTAATTTAGCATGGAAGATGATGCGTTATGCCTTGTGAATTCTGAAAACAAGGTCTATTTTTAACTGCATGCTAAGGGCGGGGGGGGGGGGGTCAACATTTGTAGTTTCGAGCTCCTGCGAGTGGAGTCGCTGGGCAGAGTTCAAAAAGGCAAACATGGGACTGACACCACTGTGCTTCGTTTGCAGTATTGTTTACATCTCAGCCAATGCAGAACCACTATTACAACTCAGCAAAAAAAACCTATTCCCATAAAATAGGAATATTCATAAAATCATCATCATCATCAGCCTTGGTCGATCAACTACTGTATGAAGGCCTCCCAAA